CAAGAGAGCTCCCAATTAGCCAAACTGTAATCACTGAAGAGATTCTTATGGTTTCAAGGGTCACCCAATATTCGTGCCTGAGGACAATACCCAATCTTGTAAGTTATAGTCAAAGAGGTACATAACTTGTATGAGAGATAGGTGAAGTCTGTTGACACACAGATGAAGAATATAAATATCAAAATACCTCTCTAGCTTTCACATATTATCAACCAACAGAGAAGAGGCTTTAACAGTATAATATTGTTGTTACAATTCTATACTGCTTTACCTACTTTACTCTACTCTTAGTAGTCATAAACGAAACTAGTATTTCTTGAGCTTTCCTAGACAATCTCCCTTTACAGAAACCAATTTCAATTGGCTTAGACAAATCTGAGTCTATACTGGTTATCTCCACCTCATAGAAACCTACATACATTGTCGATAGGCTTCATTACAGGGTCCTATTTCTCAGGAGTAGGGATAAAATGACCTCGGTTAATCTGATTAACTGGGTAAAGAAATCAGCCAAATCAGACCAAAACTGCCACAGATAGAGCTATTTGAAGTTGTTGAACTTCAAGGAGTTATAACTCAATCAGTTTTAGTCTGATTTGAATGATTGTCTTTTTACTTTGAAGTTAATAACTTGCTCTTAGCACCCAATGTTTTGGAAACAGGGTCCCATAATGAATACTAGTTGTTGATCAAGTAGAGTTCCAAGGCTGAAGTCAGTCTCTGATATAGTGGGATACAAAGATCTTTTTTTGGCTTAACCAATACAGTTTTAATTTCATCCCAGAGGGCTCAATATTCCATGAATTCACTCCTAGTAGATTTTAACCCTTGTTGGTTCTTAAAGACTGGTGCTACAATTTGATTTAAAACTTGTTCGAGATAGTCAGTCAAGACAATACCATTTCAGCTTTCATTTGCATGTAGGAAGACATATTCTAACATCCATTATTACCTAATCACTCATCAGATAGCCACTAATGCCTATCAGTGGTAGAATATATCTTGGATATAATCCTGGTAATATCATTCGAAAGAGAGCTATGTCAATCTGGCAGACTTTCAATGGCACGTATCAAAGGCAACCTCATAACCATAGATCCACTTTTCCCATCATGTTCTCAACTTGTCTAAGTATTCAAAATAGTACACCAATCGTGCTTTTTGTATTTCCTCATTAATGAAAGGCTTCTTGCATGCCTGATATTGTATATAGCCCTTACTAGCAAGTTTACTCTAAATAGTGTGAGATGCAACACATAATCCAGCTTTCTGTCCTAATCACCTTCAAGGTAGTTTTCTTTCCTTCCAATTCGTTCCTAGGAGATGAATTCCATATTGTGTATCGTATTGATTTTACTAGTCAGGTTGTTCAGTTCTAAGATTCAGTCAGATCTTTTTTAGAGGCTTTTACCAAGCCCAACAACTGATTGTATATTAGGTAATACTAGCCAGACCTGGTGTCTTACTTTATAAAATACAATATTTCAGCATTGTCCAGACTCTGATGTTAATTAGAGTTTCCCATTCATAATGAATTATAGGCATTGGTATAGTGGGAGTCATAGTTGTCATGTTTGCTACAATATTGTAGTACCTTAATACTACTCACAAGATTTTACCCCAAGTTTGTATTTATTAAATCTACAACTACATCAGATAGTTATATATGAACACACTCTCAGGGCAGGAAGATATAGGTAGGACCAGGATTACTGAATACTTGTAGCAGATTGGAGTAAAAATAGGTTATAAACATATTGTCTGGATTTCAGCCAGTAGACTATGCAGAACTCCATAAGACAGACCTTTTACATAACATCTACCTTGATGTATTTAGATATACGATGAAATGGATAAAAGGGTTTTAGAAGAAATAAAAGCAGCAGGTAGCATTTGATAATAACTGGAAAGTAATCTCCCTATATTCAGCAATTAGTATACTAAAAAATGCCAAATTGTAAGAGTCATA